TCCAGCGTGAGCCCCATCCCTGCGCCGGTATGCGCGGGGAAGATGTGGAGGAATGGCTGGACGATTTCGAACGTGTCGGCGCTGCTAACCAGTGGGATAACACCTACAAACTCGCTTACGTGTCATTCTACCTCACGGGTGTCGCGAAGACGTGGTTCCTCAACCACTTCATCGACATCCCCGACTTGTCAGCCGTCAAAGATCAGCTTCGCCATGTCTTTGGCACACCGACTGTTCGTTCGGCTCTCGCAAAGAAAGCTCTCGCGGCTCGGAAACAGCACATCGGGGAGTCGTATACATCCTACATCGAGAATGTCCTTTCACTTTCCCGCCGGGTTGAAACCCCAATGACAGAGTCAGACAAGGTACGCCAGCTTCTTAAGGGGATTGCACCCGTCGCATTCAATGCCCTTGCAATCCAGAATCCAGCTACTGTTGCTGACGTTGCGACAACCTGTCAGCGCCTCGAAGAGCTCGAGTCTATGCGCCTACAACCGGACAGTGACGCGGCCCGTATTACGGCAGATCCAAACCTACGAGACACAATAAGGGTGAATATACGCGAAGAATTAGAATCAATGGGATTCACACTACCTTCAGTGTGTCCCATTCAGTCTTCTTCAACGTCATTGCGGGATGTCATCAGGGAGGAGCTCACGTCAATGACCCACATGGCCCACCTGCAGCCCACTGTCGCTCGTACTCTCCCATCGTTCTCGCATGCCGTCGCCGCACCATCAGGCACCGTCAGCTCGACGTCGCCGCCACCAACGTACGCGTCGGTTGCTGCCGCATCTCCCAGAAGCTTTTCCACGAGCTTTTCATCACCACCGCCTGAGCCATCATCTGTCCCTCTCACTGCAATCTCTCCCGGTGCATCTAACACAAGCTACTACCCTCCTTATCGATCGACTCGCCCTACGTGCTATTATTGCGGCTATCGTGGTCACATTTCACGCTTTTGCCGCAAGCGCCAGCAAGATGAGCGCCGAGGGTACGACATACGCGAACGAGACTACACCGCAGGAGCCTTGTACCAGGGCCGTCGTTATTCGTCACCGCCGCGTCGGTCTCCATCTCCGCCAGCGTCCGGTGAACTGCGCAGTAGTCATCGATCAACCAGACGCCGTTCACCATCGCCCTACCGTCGCTCCTCTTCTCCTCTTCAGCCTGCTTCCCTCGCTCCTGATCGGCGTCCGGAAAACTAAGCGATGCAGTTTTTGGAGGACAAACTACATTCCAACACAGTACTCCAATTCCTCCAGTGCGCCCTTAAATATGATTGCAGTCTCAGTTGAGGGAGTGCACGTTGATGCTTTGGTGAGCACTGGAGCTGGGTTTTCTATTATTCGTGCCGATTTGTGTACCTGTCTTCGAAAAGTCACGACGCCTTATGACGGACCAACACTGGTTACAGCCCAGGGAACAATGATTCGCCCTTCCACTCTGTGTACTGCCCGTGTGCTGATCGACGACATTCTTCATCATATACAATTCACTGTGCTATCCCCGTGCTCCCACGAAACCATTTTAGGCTGGGACTTTCTTTCATCTGCTTCCGCGGCTATTTGTTGTGCACAACGTGTCGTCCATCTTACTGACACAGACCACTTGCTTAGTGACGAAACCTACTGGCCACTTCGACTCGTCGCAACTGTAGACATCGAGTTACCCCCAAATGAACATCAATTAGTCACTGTTTTGTCCAACGACGTTGACTCTGGTGACATTTTGATCACTCCATGGCCCCGTTGCCCTAATAAAGGCATAGCTCTCGCATCAGGTGTGGCTCGCTTCAACAATGGATCAGCTGTCCTCGCTGCTACGAACACCACACCAGATAAAATTTTACTGCCGCGGGGCACTACTGTCGCCTGCGTTGCCGATCTGGAGCCTGTGTGCGTCGTGCCTCTTACCCCTGCCTCCCCTAAAGGCCATTCTGGAGATCATGCTGCTTCCTCGGCCTTTACAGCAGCCATCAACAAGGACTTGACAGACTCTCAGAAGCCGCAGCTGCTTGATTTGTTGCAAAAGCATGCAAACTCTTTTGACGTTCATTCATCCAGCCTGGGTCAGACAACTGCTACAACACATCGTATTCAGACCGACGGAACATCCATTCTGCATCGTCGTCCGTACCGCGTCTCCCTAGCCGAACGGAAACTCATTGAGGAAAACGTGGACGATATTCTGCAACGGGAGATAATCCGACCCTCAACCAGTCCTTGGTCGTCTCCAGTGGTTCTGGTGCGTAAAAAAAGACGGTTCCGTACGATTTTGCGTCGATTACCGAGCACTCAATAAGATCACTAGGAAGGACGTATACCCCATGCCACGTATCGACGACGCCCTCGATTCCTTACAAGGTGCTGAATTCTTTTCAACCCTCGACTCGCGTTCCGGCTAATGGCGAATCCCCATGCACGAAGATGACAAAGAAAAAACGGCGTTTGCAACCCCGGACGGCCTATACAAATTCAATGTTATGCCGTTTGGTCTACGTAATGCGCCCGCAACTTTTGAGCGCTTGATTGACACCGCGATGCGTGGCCTGAAATGAAAGACTTGCCTATGTTACCTCGATGACATTGTTGTCTTTTCATCGACGCTTCCTCAACATCTGCAACGCTTGGATGAGATCCTGAATTGCCTTGCGGGCGCTGGTCTTCAAATTGACACCAAGAAGTGCCATTTCGCCGGCAGATCTATCAAGGTCTTCGGTCATGTTGTGAGCAAGAACGGAATTCGTCCAGACCTTAAGAAAACTGCTGCGGTGCTTCGCTTCCCTCGCCCTGAGAAGCCGAAAGATTTGCGAAGTTTTTTTGGTCTCGCCTCTTACTTTCGGCGATTCATACAAAACTTTGCCTCCAAAGCCGCACCACTCCATAAGCTACTTGCTTCTGGTACGCCCTTTCAGTGGTCTCTGGAATGTGAATCGGCTTTCGACAGGTTGAAGAGTGCCCTCACGACCGATCTTGTACTTTCTCATTTTCACGATGGTGCACCGACCTTCCTCCATACATACGCTAGCGGCCACGGTTTAGGAGCCGCCCTCCTCCAGCGCGACAACTCTTCGCGAGAGCGAGTCGTTGCGTACGCCAGCCACGTCCTCTCCGCCGTCGAAAGTAACTACACGATCACCGAGAAGGAGTGCCTCGCCGTCGTTTGGTCAGTGCACATATTTCGTCCCTATCTTCACGGCCGCCATTTCACCATTGTGACCGACCACCACGCTTTATGTTGGCTTTCGCCACTCAAGAACTTGTCGGGACGCCTTGGCTGCTGGATTCTACGCCTACAAGAGTATGATTTTGCCATCGTATACAAGTGTGGCAGGAAGCATAGTGACGCCGACGCTTTTTCTCGCTGCCCACTACCAGCGACTCCACTCGGGGTTTCCGCCCTCGGAGTCCAGGTCTACGGCGGTTTCCTCTCTCGCCTCTATGGACCAGCTGCCATCGGACGACCCGCACGATTTTTCTTCTCGACAGCTGGCTCACCCATACTGTCGACGTATTATAGGCTACCTCACTGGCAGTTCCCGTCCACCTAATGCGAGGCTCCGTCGCCAACTCTCGCAGTTTAAGCTGGACAATTCGGTGCTGTACCGCAAAATTTACCATCCTGACGGTCAGCGCTGGGTTTCCGTTCTACCCCGATCGCTTCGGTCCGAAGTCCTCAGAGCACTTCATGACCATCCGACGGCTGGTCACCTTGGTTACCACAAAACCTACGATCGCCTTGGAAGTCGGTTTTATTGGCCAGGTATTACCACAAGTGTAGCTCGGTACGTTGGGTCCTGCACTACCTGCCAATGTAGAAAACTACCGACATCTGCTCCAGCCGGTACACTACAGCCTCTTCCATGCCCAGCCACACCATTCGAAGTTGTAGGCATCGATCTTTATCGCCCCCTTCAGTTCGTGCGGCGGGAAACCGATGGATAGTAAAAGACGTTGACCATTTGACGCGCTCCGCCGAGACGCCATCTGTCACTACCAGTTCAGCTTCTGAAATTGCCGACTTCATCCTCCGAGCCATTATACTGCGTCATGGTGCTCCACGTGTATTGCTCAGTGACCGTGGAAAGGCCTTCCTTTCACAACTAGTGAGCGAACTTTTTCGCGCCTCTGGCACAACTCACAAGACTGCCTCTAGTTATCATCCCCAAACTAACGGCCTCACTGAGCGATTCCACCGCACTCTTGCGAACCAGACCACAAGAACTGGGATGTAATTCTACCATTCGTCACGTTCGCCTACAATACGGCTATTCAGCGGACGACCGGCTACTCACCATTTTACCTAGTTGATGGACGCTCCCCTACTTCTTTGCTGGACGTCTCTTTCTTTACCTGCCAGGCGGATTCATCTCCATCCTCTTCAGAGAAATACGTTTTGCGGCTTGCAGAGAGCCGCCAACGTGCTCCTATAAACACTGAAACCCGACGGCAAGACCTAAAGCTGGTGTAGCGATGAGAGAAGAGACGTGAGACGACGTCGAAGGCGGCCGATGGGGCCGTGCCGATCTCACCACTTTATTGCAGGCCTGAAGCGGAGCCACGTCGGCTACCAGCGTCCGGCACGCCAGGCGTGTCAGCTCGTTCTAATTCTCGCGAAGCTCGAGCTCGCGCCAGCTGCACGAGAGACGCGGCGCGGTGATGGAAAAAATGACGATGATGATTATGGCGCTACAGGGCTCCCCCCCTAGCGCTTTGCGCGATTTGAAAACATATGAAAAAGAAAGAGACTATATACATGAACGAAAATCCGCAAGGTGTCCGTTTAGGAAGTCCAGTTTGTGAACGTTTATGGGCCATCCGTAAGCAGTGTGTCTCCGGTGGGCGACTCTGGGAGAAGCGCAAGGGACGAAGAAGGAAGTGCCGGGTCGCTGTGTTCATAGACACGTCTATCCCACAATTACGCGGCGGGACCATTCGAATGCGCACCCGCCGTTTCGAGTAGATGCGGCCGCCGCCACTCAGCAGCAACTTCACGCGATGCAACAGCACCAAATGCAGCAGCAGCAGCAGCATCACTACCCTCAGCACACTGGGCAGACCGGAGTCGGATACATGGGTCAACCAGGATCTCAACAGCCTTACGCACCTCAAGGACATCCTCCACCACAACAGCAGCAGCAGCAGCCACTACCTCCTGCACAGCAGAAACCGGTAGTTCCTGGTGGATATGCAGGTGCACCAATGCCGACAGCCAGGCCTGGCCCCACCCCAACTCCTGGGATGCCCGGCCAGCCACCTCAGGGGCGCTACGGTCAGGCTGCATTTCCTCAGGCATCGGTCGGCCAGAGCATACCACATGGGCAGCCCTTTCCGCCAGGCGCTGCCCCCACCGGGGCACAGGGACCACCGCATCCCGGCCCTCCCCAACAGAGCATGCCCCAGGGCCCCCCTCCACAGCCCGCACAACCACAGCCTCCATATGGTGGCGCTCCGCCCGTGTCACAAGCCTACCCAGGCTACCCCCCTCATGCCACCCTCTCCTCTTCTCTTGCCGCTACATTGGTGACCCGGAGAACACGCCCTTCGCCGAGCGGCCCGCGGCCATGTTCCCGCAACTCTGCCCACCAGTGCCGCCGTACCAATCAACTTACCCCAAGGTATGGTTTATGCAGCTCGACGCCGTTCTTGCGGTGAATGGCATCACGGACCAGCTGCTGATGCACGCCATTCTTCAAGACGCCCTTCCGGTAGAGTTGCGTCATCTCTCTGGCACTTCAACCTCCAGCCAGCAGCCTTACGATGACCTCTGCTCGGCGGTGCTTGCCAGACATGGCCTCACCTACCACCCGCTGCCGTTCACCCGCGACTTACAGGTTTCGACTGCGTCGCAGCGCGCACTACCAACCAGCCCGCAACCATCCATTGACCGCGACCGCGCTACCCCTGCTACGACTCCCCCTACCTCAGATCCAGTCGCACGAAGATCCAAATCTGCACCTGAGCACGACGACCAGGTAGACGACGCTCCCACTTCGACTGGTCTCAGCACCGAGAGAGGCGTCCCCTTGGAGCCCGCGAACGCAGGTCTGTCACTCGTGCCTGCCACTTGCACGTCTTCCTCCACCCCAGACAACTCAGGCAGGTCAGTCTTCACGACGGCAACCTCGCCGCATGCCTTGGAGCCTGCCGCAACTACGGACATCGTCGTGCCTGCTATTCGCCCCCTAATCGCGGAGGCATCGCCGTCGACGGTGTCCGAAGATGACTCTCAACCGGCCTTAACGCGCCATACGTCTTGCAAGCAGCCACTATCACCTACCTCAACGTCTCCCGCAGCTGAAGTTCCTGCCCGTGACATGCTACGACCGAACTTCCGGGATGCTGCCAGACAGACTGCACGTTTTGTACCACCCATGCAGGCGGACAACCACCAGGCTGCCGCGACGAGCACGGGCACGCCATTCAACCCCCAGGCCACGACTTCTGGGCTCCACAACCATCCCTCGGAGCCTTTGACGCTGGACGGCAACTACCAGACGTGTGTCCGCAACGCGGGCTCGTTGGTGACACGAGCGATGACGCCCAATCCTACTGCCTGTCTACCACACTTGACAGCGCACAGAAGAAATTATCGCGTTCGCCGTAAAACACAACGTCCCCTTTTCAAGCGTCCTGCTATGCAGCTGTGCGTTGCAGCTTTGGCCTTCAAGACGGCGCAAACACCTACGAGGTTTTCCCGACGCAAGGGCCAACCACATGCCGTGCACATGACTAGCCGCAATGCACGGCGTTTCCGCATCCGTCGACTCGGCCACACGCCCCGGCATGCCGGTCGCAGTGCTACACGGAGGCCGGTGTTTCATCGACAGAGACGTCCGCACCAGCACGACCGCGACGTTGCTCCTTGTCGACAGCAGGCTCGGCACCCTGTGCGCCGTCGGAGACCCCGCTGTGGCTGTGAAACTTCAGTGCTCGGTCATCATGGGTGCGTTCCGACCATTCACACTATTTCGCCCACATTGCCGGCGCGAGCTCTTCAGCGCCTGTCCACAGTTCCAGCTGTGGGCACGTTTGTCAGCCGCGTCTACTCGATACGGCGGGTGCGCATTCGAATGGTCCCGCCGCGTAATTGTGGGATAGACGTGTCTATGAACACAGCGACCCGGCACTTCCTTCTTCGTCCCTTGCGCTTCTCCCAGAGTCGCCCACCGGAGACACAGGCCTGCAATGTAGCGACGAGAGAAGAGACGTGAGACGACGTCGAAGGCGGCCGATGGGGCCGTGCTGATCTCGCCACTTTATTGCAGGCCTGAAGCGGAGCCACGTCGGCTACCAGCGTCCGCCACGCCAGGCGTGTCAGCTCGTTCTAATTCTCGCCGAAGCTCGAGCTCGCGCCAGCTGCACGAGAGACGTGGCGCCGGTGATGGAAAAATGACGATGATGATGATGGCGCTACAGGGCTCCCCCCCTAGCGCTTTGCGCGATTTGAAAACATATGAAAACGAAAGAGACTATATACATGAACGAAAATCCGCAAGGTGTCCATTTAGGAAGTCCAGTTTGTGAACGTTTATGGGCCATCCGTAAGCAGTGTATCTCCGGTGGGCGACTCGGGAGAAGCGCAAGGGACGAAGAAGGAGTGCAGGGTCGCTGTGTTCATAGACACGTCTATCCCCACAATTACGCGGCGGGACATTCGAATGCGCACCGCCGTTTCGATTAGATGCGGCCGCCGCCACTCCGCAGCAACTTCACGCGATGCAACAGCACAACAATGCAGCAGCAGCAGCATCACTACCCTCAGCACACTGGGCAGACCGGAGTCGGATACATGGGTCAACCAGGATCTCAACAGCCTTACGCACCTCAAGGACATCCTCCACCACAACAGCTAGCAGCAGCAGCCACTACCTCCTGCACAGCAGAAACCGGTAGTTCCTGGTGGATATGCAGGTGCACCAATGCCGACAGCCAGGCCTGGCCCCACCCCAACTCCTGGGATGCCCGGCCAGCCACCTCAGGGGCGCCTACGGTCAGGCTGCATTTCCTCAGGCATCGGTCGGCCAGAGCATACCACATGGGCAGCCCTTTCCGCCAGGCGCTGCCCCCACCGGGGCACAGGGACCACCGCATCCCGGCCCTCCCCAACAGAGCATGCCCCAGGGCCCCCCTCCACAGCCCGCACAACCACAGCCTCCATATAGTGGCGCCCCGCCCGTGTCACAGGCCTACCCAGGCTACCCCCCTCATGCCACCCTCTCCTCTTCTCTTGCCGCTACATTGGTGACCCGGAGAACACGCCCTTCGCCGAGCGGCCCACGGCCATGTTCCCGCAACTCTGCCCACCAGTGCCGCCGTACCAATCAACTTACCCCAAGGTATGGTTTATGCAGCTCGACGCCGTTCTTGCGGTGAATGGCATCACGGACCAGCTGCTGATGCACGCCATTTTTCAAGACGCCCTTCCGGTAGAGTTGCGTCATCTCTCTGGCACTTCAACCTGCAGCCAGCAGCCTTACGATGACCTCTGCTCGGCGGTGCTTGCCAGACATGGCCTCACCTACCACCCGCTGCCGTTCACCCGTGACTTACAGGTTTCGACTGCGTCGCAGCGCGCACTACCAACCAGCCCGCAACCATCCTATTGACCGCGACCGCGCTACCCCTGCTACGACTCCCCCTACCTCAGATCCAGTCGCACGAAGATCCAAATCTGCACCTGAGCACGACGACCAGGTAGACGGACGCTCCCACTTCGACTGGTCTCAGCACCGAGAGAGGCGTCCCCTTGGAGCCCGCGAACGCAGGTCTGTCACTCGTGCCTGCCACTTGCACGTCTTCCTCCACCCCAGACAACTCAGGCAGGTCAGTCTTCACGACGGCAACCTCGCCGCATGCCTTGGAGCCTGCCGCAACTACGGACATCGTCGTGCCTGCTATTCGCCCCCTAATCGCGGAGGCATCGCCGTCGACGGTGTCCGAAGATGACTCTCAACCGGCCTTAACGCGCCATACGTCTTGCAAGCAGCCACTATCACCTACCTCAACGTCTCCCGCAGCTGAAGTTCCTGCCCGTGACATGCTACGACCGAACTTCCGGGATGCTGCCAGACAGACTGCACGTTTTGTACCACCCATGCAGGCGGACAACCACCAGGCTGCCGCGACGAGCACGGGCACGCCATTCAACCCCCAGGCCACGACTTCTGGGCTCCACAACCATCCCTCGGAGCCTTTGACGCTGGACGGCAACTACCAGACGTGTGTCCGCAACGCGGGCTCGTTGGTGACACGAGCGATGACGCCCAATCCTACTGCCTGTCTACCACACTTGACAGCGCACAGAAGAAATTATCGCGTTCGCCGTAAAACACAACGTCCCCTTTTCAAGCGTCCTGCTATGCAGCTGTGCGTTGCAGCTTTGGCCTTCAAGACGGCGCAAACACCTACGAGGTTTTCCCGACGCAAGGGCCAACCACATGCCGTGCACATGACTAGCCGCAATGCACGGCGTTTCCGCATCCGTCGACTCGGCCACACGCCCCGGCATGCCGGTCGCAGTGCTACACGGAGGCCGGTGTTTCATCGACAGAGACGTCCGCACCAGCACGACCGCGACGTTGCTCCTTGTCGACAGCAGGCTCGGCACCCTGTGCGCCGTCGGAGACCCCGCTGTGGCTGTGAAACTTCAGTGCTCGGTCATCATGGGTGCGTTCCGACCATTCACACTATTTCGCCCACATTGCCGGCGCGAGCTCTTCAGCGCCTGTCCACAGTTCCAGCTGTGGGCACGTTTGTCAGCCGCGTCTACTCAATACGGCGGGTGCGCATTCGAATGGTCCCGCCGCGTAATTGTGGGATAGACGTGTCTATGAACACAGCGACCCGGCACTTCCTTCTTCGTCCCTTGCGCTTCTCCCAGAGTCGCCCACCGGAGACACAGGCCTGCAATGTAGCGACGAGAGAAGAGACGTGAGACGACGTCGAAGGCGGCCGATGGGGCCGTGCTGATCTCGCCACTTTATTGCAGGCCTGAAGCGGAGCCACGTCGGCTACCAGCGTCCGCCACGCCAGGCGTGTCAGCTCGTTCTAATTCTCGCGAAGCTCGAGCTCGCGCCAGCTGCGCGAGAGACGCGGCGCGGTGATGGAAAAAATGACGATGATGATGATGGCGCTACACTGGTTTATGATGAATCGCATCCTGCTGTATCCTTTCAACCTGGAGACGAAGTGCTCCTTTTGACGCCTATTCGCACACCTGGTTTGTGCGACAAGTTCCAGCCACGATTTATCGGGCTATACACAGTTATTGAAGAAACTTCACCAGTAAATTATCGCGTGACGCAACTTGTAACCCCAGCAGATCGCCGTTATCGAACTACTGAAGTCGTCCATGTCTCCCGTATGAAGCCCTTCATGCGACGTTCATCGTCCCCTTGACTTGCCGCGGCCAGGCTGGCCGCTTTCATAAGGGGGGAATCAGTGTGGGCATTTAGTATACCAATCCTCTTCATTTGTACATTATCGTCATTATCATGTGTAAGGAAAGGACTTAAAGACGCCGAGGAACGTCAAACCAGAACTGAAGAAGACGAGCGGAGGGCAGGTGGCACGAAGGCGACAACAAGAAATGAAGAAGAGAAGAAGAAGGCACGTGCGATTACGAGGCAACTCTGCGCCTATCAGCTGATAACCAGTGGTGGCCCATAGAGGTGGCTTGCCACGATTGGGCCACGTGCGACCATTACGTGGCAGTAGGCTGTGTGGCTGGGGACGAGCCGGAGCAGCGGCAGACGGGAGACAGTGGGCCGAAGCGTCGGACGCAGGCGATCCAGGTTCCGGCTAGGGAACGCGGCTGTCCATGCTACTGTCGTCCAACTACCAGCTGGGGCGGCATTGCCGGCACGAGTACTGCATCTCGGGGCGCGGCCTGGCCTGCTGTTCTCTTCCTTGCCGAGGGCATCGCGGATCTCGGTGAGGCGTCTCCGCGGTCAGCCATTCAACACAGCGATGAATGTGGCCTGGCTAATGGTCACGGTTGCGTCGAGCATCGCGTCTCGGCGCACGCTCTTCGCTGGACGGGCTGGCCATTCCCCGCATGGAGCATCGCGTCTCCGATGCGGGTTGACTGCTCAGTAGTCGCACCCATGCCATCAAGCGCCGGTGTCACCAGAGCGTCGCACTTCGGCAAGGAACGAGCGAGACGTTCTGCCGGGTGTGCACGGAGGACCACGGTGCCGGCCGAGGTCCAGGGTGGCCGAGGATCTAGGTGCCAGGGGAGTTGCTGACTGAATTGAGGATCGCCAGCGGTGCCGAGCCGTACCGAGAAACGTGCGAAAGGGAGCTCGAGGGTTGAGGCCACGAAGGCAGACGAAGCAGTGCGCCGCTCGAGAGGACGAGTTCCTGGGAGTGTTCCTGAGCCGGACGTGGGACCCGTACGTGTCGGCCAGGTCGAGCTCTGGTGTGTGCGGTCGAGGTCGAGTCCGCCGGCCTGTACAAGGTCCAAGGACGGGGCCTGCTGAACGGCTCCTGCCTGGGTGCAGTGGCCGGGAGCAGGTTCGTGGGCGAGGCCTACCGGGCTTGGTCCTCGGGAGCCGTGGCCTGACCCTGGACCTTAAAAGTTGCGACCCTGACTGCTGGGTTGGCCGCGACATCCGACTAAACGGCGCTGCACACGGTAGCGCATCCGTGCGCCGTCAGCCGTTCCAGCCATGCCACTTTTGCCCTCGCCCACGTCAACGACCGCATCATGTGGGGACGACGAGGACCCAAACTGTGAGGCAGCGGTTTCTGTTTGCGAACCGAGAACTATACGCGCTGAACACTGAGTACGCGTAGCCGCGAGCTCTCCGCATAATAGAGGTCTGACTCTCGTGCAGGTGGCGTAATGCTTTGCGTGTAGAGTTGTATATATAGTTTTATTTTCACCTTCCATTTCCTCTCTAGTGTACAATATAACACTTCTTTTGTTCGCATCAATTGTTGATGTTAATCCTTTTTCGTCCGCTATCGACAAGCATAGTGACGTACATACTTAACCATAAGAATGTCTGGCGTCCGCGACAGGACTAAGCTCTCGCGTTACATCTGAGAGCCTCACGTTGTTTGTGTGTGGCGGACGAGAATGGACGACAAGAGAAAGCTAGTTGAGCTAGAGAAGGAGAATGGGGCTGAGTGGAGAGGCTTTGCTGGCATGGGTGAGCGCTGAGGAAAACGAAATGAGGGACCAGTGAGCGAAAGATCGAGAGGGTTGCCACGAGCCAAGGCTGGCCAACCGACAAGTGGGCCCTGTCATTGAGCTTGTGTCTAACGGGAGAAGCCTTGACAACGGTAGGACGGATGTCTGCAGAAGACTTTACGGACTACGCAATGAACTCCTGTAAATATTGTTATTGTTTTGGCTATTTTTTGCTTTTGTTTAATCCACCCCGTGCGCTTGTAAAAATTTGTTTTCCTTAACAACTTTCTTCAGCAGGGAGATATTGTAAGGAAAGGACTTAAAGACGCCGAGGAACGTCAAACCAGAACTGAAGAAGACGAGCGGAGGGCAGGTGGCACGAAGGCGACAACAAGAAATGAAGAAGAGAAGAAGAAGGCACGTGCGATTACGAGGCAACTCTGCGCCTATCAGCTGATAACCAGTGGTGGCCCATAGAGGTGGCGTGCCACAATTGGGCCACGTGCGACCATTACGTGGCAGTAGGCTGTGTGGCTGGGGACGAGCCGGAGCAGCGGCAGACGGAAGACAGTGGGCCGAAGCGTTGGACGCAGGCGATCCAGGTTCCGGCTAGGGAACACGGCTGTCCATGCTACTGTCGTCCAACTACCAGCTGGGGCGGCATTGCCGGCACGAGTACTGCATCTCGGGGCGCGGCCTGGCCTGCTGTTCTCTTCCTTGCCGAGGGCATCGCGGATCTCGGCGAGGCGTCTCCGCGGTCAGCCGTTCAACACAGCGATGAACGTGGCCTGGCTAATGGTCACGGTTGCGTCGAGCATCGCGTCTCGGCGCACGCTCTTCGCTGGACGGGCTCGCCATTTCCCGCATGAAGCATCGCGTCTCCGATGCAGACTGACTGCTCAGTAGTCGCACCCATGCGATTAAGCGCCGGTGTCACCAGAGCGTCGCACTTCGGCAAGGGACGAGCGAGACGTTCTGCCGGGCGAGACGCGGGCGCGTGCACGGAGGACCACGGAGCCGGGCGAGGTCCAGGGTGGCCGAGGATCCAGGTGCCAGGGGAGTTGCTGGCTGAATCGAGGATCGCCAGTGGTGCCGAGCCGTACCGAGAA